AAGGCCATGGGTAGCAGCGCAGCCATCCAGCGGGGAGATGGTTCTGGTGGAGCCTCCAGCATCAGTCTCTGCAGAGACCTGGTGCCACCACAGCCTTCAAGCAGTGGTTGGAACACTGCTGGCATCGTCGCTGGGCATCGCTCCTCTTGCTGCAGCAGACTGTACCTCCCTCGGCTTTGTGACTGCACAACCACAGCGCAGCCCCGCGTAGTATGAGATTGTCTCTTTTTAACCCCTGAGACTGTGAAGGGAGAGACACCTTGGCCATTTGCAGCTGGCGAGCACTGGCCTTCAATAAGCCGTGCCAGTGGAGGAGGGCAGGGGAGCGGTAGGTAATAATGTCACCGTCAATCACCCATTGCCACGGGGAAGCCTCGGCCCGCGATTCATCTAAAATGCCGCCGCGAGTGGTGTAAATATTTTATTAATGGCTGCCTCGGTTTGCAGCGTTTTCATTATTGCTCACACCAGCAGCGCTCACGCTTTGTGTTATCAGCAAGGGAAGCCACGGGGCGGCTTGTTCCGGCCCCCCAAACCCTGCGCTAACGGGGGCTGCGGCAGCCCCTCCGCCCAGGCAGGAGCCCCCGGCGCAGGGCAGTGATGCGCAGCCCCAGCAGACAGGTCCCGCCGTCGCAGTGGGCTCAGGCTCAGCAATCCTGTCGTGTCGGAGCAGGGCAGGGCACTGGCCACGCCGGGATGAACTGTGCAACCTGCCGGTAAGAGGCTTTTCCATTTCCCCTTGCTCTGCTGTTCCCATTCGCAGTCTGCCTGACAAAAGCCTCTCCAGCACTAATCCTGCCCAGCCTTCCCCAGTGACAAGTTCAGGCGTGATGCCACCGCATTTATCACCTTCCTGTACTTCAACTTGCTGTGGATCATTTTCCAGGATGGAGCAACCCACAACTCATCCAATGACTTGCAGCCACCCTCCCGAGTAAAGTGACATTCCCAATCAAAAGGATTTTTACCTTTTTTGCCCCTTGAAGGGCACCCGCCCAGGTGAGAAGGGGAGCTGAGTCCCAGAGACCCCTGCCTTTGCTGGGCTCTCATCCAGTGCCCTCAGTGGGATCCCTGTAACCCCCCTGCCACTGCATTTAAAAAAAGCAAAGGCCAAAGAGACGGAAGGGAAGAGCCTTCCCTTCCCCCGTCCCCTCCTGTAAGTCATTTTCTCTGGCCTATTTTACAGGAACTGAAAATCTATTAGAGGAATAGCTTAATCCGGTTTGACTGTAATAATTAGGGTGCTTTAAAAAAACCCTGACTAATCGTATAAAATGTGATTGTAGACAGTTCAGTGCATGACCCTTACACTTATCACTTGAGGTATTATTACAAACCAGAAACAGCTGGCAAGCATGGAGGAGGATAAAGGGGAAAAAAAAAAATCACATGCAAAGGGACAGGGACTGCTCCTTTTCTGATCTCGTAACACAGGCACTGGCAGCGCCTTGAGTTTTCTTTCGAACATGGATCCAAAGCATATAGTCACCTCCAAGACCCTGGACAGACACCTATGTTTTCACCACCGGTGTCCCCCACCAGCCGCGGGGTCCTGCGTCAGCGTCTCCTTTTCTCACACTGTTTTTGCAGACAGTCCAAGAGGATTTGAATTAGCGGCAGAGCGATTCCCCTCGGGGCATGCTGCAGTCAGCAGATGTTTGTAGCATCAAGGGGCAGCTTTTCCAAAACAAGACAGGCCGTATTAGTCAAGCAGGATATAGTGCTTTAGGGTCAGTGGGTTAGGACAGAAAAGCAATGCTCGCTTCCATGTCTAGGCTGGTAGCAATCTCTTTTTCTCTTGTTCTCGATCTTTCTCAGGCTCTGACAGCCACAAATTCTCCCTTCCTTTCCCGCGCCTAGGCTAGGGGCAGCTGAGTTCCATCACGGCATCACCACACCTTTAGTAAAGCTACTTTTTTTCCACATGTTCCACCAGTCACGCTGCGGGATTGATGCCTGTTCCGGATGCCTTTGTCCCTGCAAGATGAGGTCACTCATGTACTGACGCTTCTTGCTCATCCCTCACTACCACTCCAGACAGGCCAAACAAATAGTCCAGGCACCCATCTCCTGCACGACTGTCTCAGAAGAGAAATCTACTCTTCCAGTCCCAGTGGTCCACAAGCACGTTTTGGGGAGAATTCAAAATCTGAGCCCATTGCAGCAATCTAGTATAACAGAGAAGATCGCCCAAAGGGACTCATGCCTTAGCAGGGTCAATCACAGCTGAAGAGGTAGGAGATGACTTGACTTGGCCATCACATAAATGTTGGAAGAAGCACAGGGAAGGCTCTTGTTCATCAGTACCATTAAGAGCCAAGACTGAGCCCTCGCCCAGACATTAGCTTGCAAAACCACTGCTCTGTACAGCCAGTCAGGAGCTTTAGACTTCACAGAGAGACGACAGCCAGGATGAGACTGTACTATCACCAATGCGCTACTTTAATCAGCATTGAAAACATATGATCAAACTTGAAGGAGGCTTTTAAAGACTGAAATAAGAAGAAGATGTACTACGCTTTCAATTTTCTCTCTCTCTCTGTTACTGTGATTAAAATACGTGGTTGATCTTGGAAGCTCTACTGCAGCTTGTACAAAAGCCGAAATAACAACTTTCACAGTAATGGAACTTGCAGCTGGAGTTGGGCTGTTTGGTTTCTTTTGCTCTCCCATGAGTCTTCCTTGGGTCTTATTTTTCCCCATTCTACTCCATACAGATTTTGATCTTTCCTTTATTAAATAGGAATGGTTATCCCCACTGACTCACTTATCTAATAATAGCTGAACCTTTTAATTCAAATGATTTGATTCCTGGGGTTTTTAGATTAAAGTAAACATACAGTTAGAGTATTACTGGGAGAGTGGCAATAGAAATACCATGGTCAAATTATCCTGTGACTCAATTCTGCAAAGCACGCTGAATCCCTTTTAATACATTTCACAAGTACGCGGTGGTGACCTCCAACACCAGAGTGGTTTCTCTCCTACAGTAGCTCAATTTCACGACTCTGAATACACTTTTTTTTGGAAGGAAAGCCATCCAAAGGTTTTTATAAAATGTTCTCGAGCCTTTGGGAATGAGCCAATTTAATGCCGGGGTATCATTCCATTTCAAAGAGTTGAAGGACTTGAGGAAACACAATCTGCTTTCTGAACAGTGTGAGATGAATATAGTTGTGGTTTCATTAGAAACCAAGCTGCAGAGTTTGGATACAGAGCTCAACTTTTTCAAAGTTCAGCTGCGGCTCTTAGTTTGTCAGCTGTATTTCCCTGCAGCACTCTTTTTGTAACGACCCTTCTGAAGGAGCCTGCTCCAGCATAGATGAACACTTGCACTGGGAGTAGATGGCAAAGACAACATTGCTGCCAGCCAAAGTTTCTATCATTCGTTGGCCTTAAAATGAGAAGGGAGGGGAGGACCCTCCATAAACTCAAGAACCACCAACAGAAGATCAGCTTGGCTTTAATTCATGTTTTGCTATTTGCAATTGAAAAATGGGCAGGCAGGTAGGGGATAAACCCCCAGTGATTAAAGGGGAAAATGTCAAGCTGTGGAAATGCCTCCTGAAAGCCAGAGCCACCTCAGGACCCGTGCAAAGGTGCAGTCCCCACTGCAGCCACGCTCAACAGCACCAGGAACACAGACATTGCCACCCACCACCTCCCAGCCCACAGCACGGGTCGCCCAAAAAAACCTGCCGGAGCCACAGAGACACTCAGTCACATCTAGCTTTATTTTAATCCCGTCAGAAAAGTTCAAGAATTACACCAAAAAATACTTCAGTCTCTGCTACCTACTGACAAAAAATACACCACAAAATTATAAACTGTTCAGTGGTTTTGCTGGAGTTTTCATTGTTGGTGGAGGGGGTGGTTTGTACATTTTGAGTGAGAAATGAATTTACAGGTGGAAGGGGAAGGAAGAATAGGAAATCAGACAATGGCATTTGGCACTACATTTTTAGCTACACTATACAGTTATTTATCATGATGCCTGTTAGGACTGAGGAGTTCTGCCCTCATTTACACCCTCTAGTGTCTATGTATGCGAAATGGAGGACAAAACTGCCCAATGCGGGGGAAGAAGGGGCCAGTTCCTAATTTCCATCCCAGTCTAGCGACAAATCTGAAAAAGCAGCCTTAGTCAAATGTGAGCCTTGCCCTCCCTGTGCTCTCTGCTCCTGTTCTGACTCTGTTCAGTCTCACCCTGCCTGCACTACTGAGGAGCAGAGCCGCTTTGCACCAACGGCTTGCAGCTCTGAAAAAAAGAGAATCTTTTTTTTTTTTTTTTAATCCCACCACTCTGCACTAATTGCACATGCCATTTGTGGGGAGAGGATGTTTTACATTGGCCAGGACTGGATCAAGATTGGGGTCTGGTCTGTGTTTGCAAGCAGAGATTTGATGGGACCCTTATACCCTGAGAGCATGCTACGGCCATCCCTCTCTAATTACCTGGAAAGCCATTAAATACTGAAGTATCTGAAGCTGAAGGAGGGAAGCAAGAGCATCCCATTTCATGGGATGAAAAGTTAGAGACTTAGTTAGTTTCTCTAACTGAAACTAACTTAGTTAGTTTCTCTAACTGAAAAGTTAGAGACTCGATACTCTTCTATACTATCACCAGTCTTGAGAGGCTCCTCAATTAATAATGGCATTTCTTTGTCTCTTGGTGACCCTCAGGAAAGAGGTCCCAAAGGATGAAGCCTCATGTAAATTGCCATGCAGGAAATCTGTGCCAGAAGCAGAAATAAAGCTCTGATCTCCTGATTCCCAGTCCCGTGCTCAGAAGTATATTCATGATTTCACTATAGCAGCCTCTGTCCTGTCCATTCTGCTCCATATCCCAACAGCAACCAGGATTTCAGCCTCAGAGCCCAGCTGAGATCACCAGCACAGTGGCAGCTCTCTACGAATGCCTAGATCTTTCTGGATTAACCTAGGCCACTGTGCAGGGGTGTGTGTGCATGTGTGTTTGCATGTGTGTATGCTTGAGGGAGGAGGGGATGCTTGTATTTCTCTGTCAGCCAATGAACACTGATGCTAGATTCGATTTGACAGCAAAATATCCCCCCTTTGGCAAGCTAAACAACATCACAATGTCTCTGTACCAGGTTCTTTCTACCCCTCTCTCTAAAGGGTTTCAGCTGTTCCTTCACTGCATGTGACTTCTCTGTCACAGCTTTCCAGCAATGATAAAACTTTGTGAGATTCTCTTTGCTGCTTTTATCCTCTCTGGCTGTTTATCTAATTTGCTTTTTTTGTTTTTTAATTTCTTTTTCTAACAAATAGTTAAGCAATGATTTAAAAATATTTTTACATCGTAAGATACAGTCAACATCAAACATGCCTTTGTACAAGAGCTCGACTCGGTTACAAATCAACAAGAACAATGCACGAAAAGAAATATCCATTAAGATGACTCCTGCACTTGGGTTTTATTTATTCCTCTCGTGCTGTTTTCACAGCACCCTCAGCTACAGCAATGCAGTATAGACATGGTGTTGTCCCCCCACCCTCTTACTCTGCCCATCATCACTCGTTAACTTTAATGACCTTCTGTCTTGGCAGCCTTGGCTTCGTGGTTTACCGATCCTGAAGACAGCCAGGGCGATACAGCCCGGGAGCTGGTCTGCTTGGCCATGCTGTAGTGGCTGATGACGGTGTAGAACCTGCCCCGGGAGTTGGAATCCTGTGCGGAATAGTACGCATCCAGCGAGGCCGGGATGCACCGCTTGTGCTGGAAAGGGGAAGAAAGCAAGAGAATAAAGAGTGGTCCCATCACTCTCAAGCTCTCGCTTTAAAACTCTCAGGGTTAGGTGTCTGCATAGATGACGTTTGACTCAGACTTGCTGCAGTGAGAGCATCTGCTGCGCAGCCCCGACTGCCTTTCAGCGCCGTGGGAATGCACAAAGTTTAGAGTCGGGCAGCAGCCTTCAAAACCTGTTGCTATTGGCAACCCCGGTTGCAGGCTGATTTCATCCATGGATGGGAAATGAGGACTGCAAAATGAAGGTCTGACTGGTTTGGTACGTTACTGGCATGCACAGAGGCCGAGGCCCCTTGCTGGAGTCCTAGCAGGGCTGGCTGAGCAGCTCTTATCACGTGCTGGACCGAAAGCTCTGTAGAGTGAAGTCCAGAACTAATCCTCAGACCAGCAGAGGACAGGCAGAGGCAGAGTAAGCTTCTGACGTGCTGCTCTGTTACAGTGTGTTATCTCTGACCTCGAGGATGACCACCTTGGTCGGGGATGGTAGGAAGCGTAGCCCAACCGGCAGCCCTTGTCAGAGCTTCTTGTCTGTGCAGACACTGCCCGTGCATCTCCGCTGGGCCAGGGCAGACACTTGTGTGCTCAGAACTGCACAGACAAAACAATTTGCTTTGCAACAGCTGTAAAAGAGCAATGAAATGGTAACGAATGTTGGACTGGTTGGGATTCATGGGAGTCGAAGTAGCACCAAGGACACAAGGGGCCCCAGGTATAATTATTAAATTATGAGACACCCCAACTTCCAGTTTAATGTGACGAGCTGAAATCTGAGTCCAAAACCTTTAATCTCTTCAGAAGTTCAGGTCTGGATCTGATTCTGAAATTCATGACTCTATCCTAACTTCATTTTTATATAACCTAAGAGAATAATTCACAAAGACTAATACACCAACATCCTTACTCCATTTTCCAGCCCACAGACTACTCGCAGTGTGGTCAAGACTCCTGTGAGTTTATGAGTTTATTCACAGTAAGGAGTAAGTGAACTATTTTGCAAACTTTTGTTTGTTTTTTTTTTTTTAAATCTCAACAGACCAGGCAAATAGTTCTCTGTGAATATGCAATATAAAATCACTGAGCAGCAGGGCTTTAGCAATTAAGTTATATGGTTTTGTTCTTGATAGAGGGTCAAAAGCACCTTAAAACGAACTACATGGGCAAATTCGTATTTCTTTCACAAAGGACACATGTGCCAGCACTCTGGGAGTTTGCTTTGCACTAAAATGTATGCCAGTAAACCTCAGTCACTTGAACGTGTGGGAAGCAAATGCGGGATTCCAGCTGCAATAAATCCATTCACAAATATGACGGATTGTTCCTGAACATCTGTCTGTAGTGTTCACCAAATGCTAATCCCAACAATTTCAGTGTAACAGTAGCTGACGGGGGCAGATGCAAGTCCACATTTCCCATAACACTTTTCCCCTTTCAACACATTCTTGCCAAATGTTCTGTTTGGCGTGGTCAAAAAAGCAGACTAGACTGTAACCATGTAGTGAATTAGAGTCTATCATTATCTCAGGCAATTCATCCATCTGAAGTTTCTTACCTTATAAACAAATCCATCTGGGCAACTGTGGTCGTAAGTAAAGGCTTTGTACACCACAAGAAACACTATGCAGGCAAGGAATGCAAGAGCCAGACTTATGAGAATAGTGACCTACAAAAGAGGGATAATGTTACTCTACATATGTTAAAATGGCATATGAGCAACCTCATAATTAAATGACTTATAGTAACAGCCATGCTAACAGACTGCAGTCTTCACTCCACTGTGCAGTACTTAACTAAGCATGGTAATTGAATGAATGCTAGATCCAATAGCCTTGAATTCTCACATCATTTCCATCCCCCGCAGACCTTCGGGAGTGCACATTCCTGTGTTTAACCCCTTGCAAATGTATGGGTTTTACTGAGGCATTTGGAGTTCTCGGTGGCTTTTCGTTCCCATGCTCTCAGCTGTTCAACCAACAGCATCATCTGTTGGCTCAGCAGGATCCACCAGCAGCCAGAGTCCACATTTGGGGTCTAATCTGTGCAGATAAACTGCCTCATAACCATGGCGACATCCCGCTTTTCTGATAGCAGAGGTAGCTGAGCAGGTAGGAAGAATGAAGCCCTTGTAGCACACATCCCTTTGTGCCTTCTGGGCGATGTGACAAGGATAAGTTGTACCTTGCAAAAGGGAAGGCGGGAGAAAGGGAATCCTTCTCTATTTATCACAGCTGTAAAAGGAGAATACCCCAACCACCGACAAAGGCCAAGCATGCAAATCCTGCAGCATGTCCAAGAGCAGATGCCAGTGCTGGTGGAACCAGACGAAATACCCTCTTTCAGGCCCAATTATTCCCCCTCTCCTCATTCCCAAGCAGGTTCCTTTGCTGCACCATTCTGTTTCTCTGCTGTAGCTCCCTTCTCTCCAGTCCTTCCAGGTCCCCCGTAAATTGTGCATTCAACAGCAAGTTTCCTGGCTCCATCCACATGTCTGGACTAAGGCCCCGATCCTTGATTTTAGCTGCGCTGTGCCCTCCCTAAGGACTGAGCAAGGGTCCCAAACGCACTCTTGTTCTCCCCTTCCCCAAAGGTTTCTTGGTCCCAGCTGGCAATTCAGCAAAACGCAGCATAAAAGGCTGTGAACTTCTACTGCCTAAATTACAGCAACCCATCCTGTCAGGACTGTTGTCGCACACTGTTCTGGATTGGCACGAAAAGAATATCATAACCCCTGGGGCTCCAGTGTTACCATGCAAACTAGAGTTCCTAATCAAATGAACTCACTTGCAGAGATGATGGGGGTGGGGAGGGGGCACAGCAGTAGGGGAAACATTTAAAGCTGTTGCACAGCCAGCAGCATGGGCAGGGAGCAGTAGCAGCAGCTCCCCAGTTTCCTCTGGCTCGCTGGGACTGGGCACCAGCAGCTCACATTCTGCAGGATGGGAAAGGGGCTACAACGTTCTTGTGAGCTGTGAGAGCTCACGCTGAGGAAGTTCCTACAGCAGAAGTTTTAGGTCAGGCATGGGTTTACAGGAGGGATAGTGATCAAAGAGGTTTTTTCCTACCTACAACCTCAACCTGTTTGCTTCTGAATCCCACTTTCCCATCATGGTACCAGAAGCCATGCCCAGGGCTTCATATTTTCCCTGGTCACACCAAAACCCATCTACTGAGAGAACGGCAATGGTAGGACATGGCAGGGACCGTGTGCCTGCCCCAGCTAACGCCCCTGCCTGCAGGCATGCTACCACAGTACCACGCATGTGTTCATCCTCCAAAATGTGCCGCCAGCCCAGTATCAGGGCTGCACCTACCCGTACTAAAGGCAATCATTATCATTTACTGCCCTAGCAAGGAAGAGCCACAAAATTTTCAGCTCTATCTAGTCACTCAGGGTTCATCCACCCTTTTGCTGTTACAGTTGCGTCACAATCTTCTTTATTTTGTTGCATGGGTGTTCAAGGAAATTGAATAGTAGGTACAGGCAGAAGTTTTCCTCTGCTATGATATAGGAGACTGGTGATGGTAGAAAGCGGGGAAACAGAGATAATTCCTACAGTATAGTGGACAGGCTTGTCAAGAACAGCAGCTAATAAAGAGCAAACTGGCCACATCCCAGAATTCATCAACATAGTATTATTAATATAACAATGATATTACATAATATTAGTAATATTATATCAATAAAGATATACTAATTGCTTAATATTGGTTCACACTGAATTTTGCTCTATTTCTTTCCTGCAGTCATCATAGCAGCTGTAATTCTGAGAACCTGTATGATATGCAATCCCTGCACAGACTCAAAGGGGCCACTGTAATTGCTTGCAGTGCAGGAAAAGAGTTCTCACCCTCATCAATCCTGCAGAAAGATGCACTGCCTGGTGAGATGTATTCCTACATCACACACAGCACATTGGGACTATTACTCAGAGAAGGTACAGCAGCTCTGGCAATGCCACCTGCAATGCTGGAAGATCCAGAGCTACAATTCTGGTGGCTGTTTGAAGACAAAAAGAAAGAGTGAAGGTAAATCTGCATGTGTGGTGTTAAATCTGAGCCGCCACATCCTGTTCAAAACTCAGGAAAGAGAGCGCTGAGGAGTCTGTATCTAGCAGGAAAGATTTATAAATTCATTGTTAAGTAAGAATATTTTAGAATAAAGTGTAAAAAGGTAGCAAGATTGGGGCTAACAGGCGTTTCCAGTGATGAACAGTTCACTGAAGCCCCGACCTGCCTTTTAGAATAACTGCTCATATTAACCTCCTCCTTGGGGCCCAATCTGCTGCAAAATGGGCCAATTAAGCAAAAGGCAGCTGCAGAGGGAGAAGCACTTACTGCTGGATCTCATCAGAGAACATGTGTAAGAGAGTCCTGGTGTGCTGAAAAGGTAGCTGGTAGAAAAGGAGTACAGTTGTATGAATTGCACTAGTCTGACGAAGAAAATATGGGTTCCACCTCCTCTCCATCAAAGCACACTTGCCTGCAAGTTTGAATAGAAATATTTCAGACCAGCTTTATGGTAGCCGATGGGTTCCCAACCTGGGGAAGCCTTGTCCCTATTCATAGAGGGAGAAGTCTCAGTCGGATTCAAGGGAGATGGAAATGAAATTTGCCATGATTTCTGCCCCCAAAAGAAGTCATATTACAGCTGAAAAAAATGAAAAGAAGTCACTTTGAAAAAGTATAATCGCCAAGGAGAGACTTCCCGGATTAAGTGTGCCAACTGTTTCCATACTGTTTCAACAGAAAACCTGGGAAAAAAGACACCCCTGCAAAAAGACCTATCACAACCCAGCTCTGGCAGACCAATGTGGAAGAACACTTCCCCCTGTAGAACAGATGTTCATCAACTCTTCCCCATTTAAAAAGGGAGCATGTTAGGCCTGGTACTTCCTCCAACAACAATGTATGTAGTAATACAAAGATGACAATGACACAAGTCTCCTTTGAGGTTAGTTTGAAGGCAAGACGTGCATCTCGCTCTACCAAAGCCAATACTTAGAGGGCAGCCCTGGCTAGAAATTCAGAAAATTAATTTGGTTGCTCTGCCCTGAATACAATGTACAACGAAAAAAGAAATCTTGCTTGGGTTAAGCTGAAGGAACAAACTTGTGCTCAGGGCAAAGGAAGAGACAAAGGGCAATGAAGTTACACCGAATGCCATCTGGGAATGCATAGAGTGTAACTTAGTGACAAAGTACCTCTTGATCCTGAGCAATATGAAGCTGCTCATCCTCTAGCTGTCTTTAGTAAATACAACCTTCATCGTCAGGGTCAGCAAAAGCTGCACACCAGCAGAACGCATACACCCTGTGCTACGATTCCTCCCGCCCTAATGTCTACCTGGTTCCTTTCTCCCCCTCTGCATCCCCATTTGCTCCATCCCAGAGAGATCCATCAGGGCTGACTGCACCCAGAGAAGAGGCTGTGAAAGGAGAATATCCCTCAATGGTGGGATGTCTCTCTCACCCAAAATGCCTTTGTTTCTGCCCTCCCCAGGAGTTGCCACTAAAGTTGCTCTGAAGGCTTCTCACTCTGAGTCAGTTAAAATGTGCGAGTTCTTCCTTTAGCCTTCAGAAAAACAAAGAACCAAGCTGTCTGGAGCGAGAATGAACATCTCTTCTTTTGTTTAATCCCACGTACATGCACAGCCTATGGAAATGACCATCAGTAATATGATTTGACTGGTTCCTTTCCTCTTGTCTGCCCACTGAGCCCCTAAAAATAATAAATTCCCCTCTGCTCTGTCGCTCCGCTCCAGCAAAGCGCTGACACCCAATTCATTACCTCCCAGGAGCAGGTCCCTCCGCTGAGCTCTCCCCTCCTCCGGGGTGTAATTGAGCCCATTCTCACCTCCCTCCTGCGTTTCATGCACTTGCAAAATTACAGCGTGACACAATATTACACATGATGATACATAGTGTAAAATTGCTCTTGGATGAAATGTCATGTAAGACATTAAAACCCAGAGGAAAGGGAAGAAAAATCCACGCCAGAGCTAAGATCCACCTCTCCAGCTATTCCAGAGCATACAAAGCTTCATTAACATTCAAACACCAAAAAATCACAGAGCTGCAATACCTAATAAACCTCCACTTTTTTTTATGATTAACATGAACCTTGGCAGTCTCTAAGCAATATAAACACTCACAGAGGGGAAATAAAATTTAGTGAGCAGATAAAACCTAGAAGTGCTGCAGGCATGAATCTGTCACGTGTGACTGCTCCAGTGGGTAAAAGAAGGAAGGGGGGGGATTTGCCTGCCCTTTCCCCAAAGCCTTATATGATTCCCAAAGGTTCCCTTCAGAGGGGAGTGTCTGCTGGAATGGAGAAGTAAGAACATCATTACCACACCAAAAAACTCCCCATCCTCCACAAAACATGGAAAGAGGCCCTTAACGTCCGTGAAAGATGATGTCAACAACAGCGCACTTGGCTTGGTTCCTCTCCACCTTTCCCATCGATGAAGCACATGTGCATTTTCACAACAGCACCAATAAAAAAAATAAATATATCCTTATCAGGCAACAGGACATAAGTTGCCACTAGGTTTTGCTCCAGTGAGATGATACCTAATTGCAATGGTGTTCCAGGTAACCTGGCTTTCATGATGTCCATCAAAGTCTCCTTCTTACTCTCTGATTTCAACTGCTGCCTGTGATT